AAAATATTTACAGTAGATAGTTTAAAATATCTTGGTTTTAACTAATAGTTTTAATAAGTTTTTTTTTTAATATTTAAATATTTCAATAGTTACCTCCCTTGATATTTGTCTTATGTTATCATAAAATTCAAAAACCGTACAGTACATAACCTTAGCGTTTTTCACTTCACACGTAAAATAAAAAACAAAACAATTTTCAGATGAACACAACAATTTTGTCTTAGAAAAAAACAAGACTCTGATAATGACATTGTGCTAACCTCGAAAGTACTCGGAATACAATGAATATGCATCAGTGTGGTAATTTTCTTTCTTCCTTTAATAAGGATGCTAAGAAACTTGTCCGTAATTACGAGTGGATCCTATTAAAAAAAAAAAGTAGGCAAAACTTATCTAAATTATTTAATGAGACATTTCGTTATATATATATATAGCTTGTGTGTGTGAAAAGACTTTTTGACATATATAAGTGCAATATTTCTCTTTCAGTAACCTTGGAGAAAATATGTTATTGCTCATGCGCGTTTAAATATATTCTTTATGTAAGGTTTGCTAGTAGAAAATACGTCAAGAATAAAATCAGAAACTGGTTTCTTTTAAATATTCTTTGCATAGTACATACAAGTCAAGTTAATATCACCTTGTAATACATATTTGTCTGGTCGTATTCCCACAGCCTTTGAATAGGCCTTAAAATTGTTGACTAATTTCAAAGAATCATTTCACAAGCCGAAACTTTAATGAGTCATGACGCTGGAACTGATACCTTAGATTTTTTTTTCTTTTTTAACCGACCTATCTGAAATTCTGTGGTCGCTGAAGCATTTTCGTGAAACTCTTTTATTTATAGCTTTGTCAAGTGTTGCTTGTTTTAAGCGGTTTTTTTTTTCTTTCGTTTAACCTTCTGCCGAGGTCGCTTTGTAAAAAGCGGGAAAATTGGGTGGAAGGCGGGAAAGGAAAGATATTCGACTGTCCTTCCTCAGCGTAGGGTTTTTTTATGGGTAAGAGTGGAGTCATGGGGACCAAGTTATGCAAAGATTCAGAATTGCCTTTCTTTTTCTTTTTTTCTTTTTTCCGTCTCAATGTGAAGAGACCAGCGGAAAGTGTTTGCAGTGAGGTGGGGAGAGAGAGAGCGAGCGAGAGAATTTTTTTTGGAGGAAAGGTGAATAGAGTGCGCGTATGCGTTTCGGGGTCAGGTAAGATAATGTCTTCAGGCATTTTACCCACTTCCATTATCACTTCTTTACAGTCATGTTCGGCGTCTTTAAGTTCAGAGTCCCCTGGGAAAGGTATTGGCCATGGCAAAACGTAAAAAATGAAAGGAACAAATGTAGCGATAAAAACCTGAAGAATGTCTATAGGTACAGTGGTCGAAACATCGTCTAACTACATCATTTTCTCTTATTGTTAAACCTTCCACGCCTTTAGTATTTCTTTGCACTGTTTGTCATCCATCGCCTTTACCCTTTTCGTTCTCTCTCTCTCTCTCTTCACTTCCCACGTTTTCACCCACTGTTTTGCACCATTTCGGTTTTTTTTTTCTATTGTTTCTCTTACCCGCTCTCGTTATACACTTTACCATCCCTCTCTAACTTTGTTCACTTTTACTTTCTCTGTTCATATTCACACGCCTTTTCTCACTGACCAAATTTCTCTGCACTATTTTCTTTCCTTTTTTCCTGTGCCACTCAGCATCTTTCTCACTATATTCGTCTTTCTCTCTCACCTTTCGTCTTTCTCTCTCACCTTTCGTCTTTCTCTCTCACCTTTCGTCTTTCTCTCTCACCTTTCGTCTTTCTCTCTCACCTTTCGTCTTTCTCTCTCACCTTTCGTCTTTTCTCTCTCACCTTTCGTCTTTCTTTCACCTTTCGTCTTTTCTCTCTCACCTTTCGTCTTTTCTCTCTTTTTCGTCTTTCTCTCTCACCTTTCCTCTTTCTCTCTCACCTTTCCTCTTTCTCTCTCACCTTTCCTCTTTCTCTCTCATTCTTACTTGTCACCGCTGTCAACATTATCCTCGTCTATGTTCCTCTTTCCTTCTCCTTGAATTCTGTTTCGCCCCTATCTCTGGTTTTACAGACTATTAAAACCTATCCTCATGATACTCAGCCCACAAATGTAACATCTGAGCTCAATCCAATCAAAAAAGCAAATAACTCTTATTCAAATAACAGGAGTGACAGTTTGCTGCCGTGTGTGCTTGGCAATGCAAGTATCCACCCATGGAGTAACCAACTTCCCCCCTCACCGTTTACTCTGACGTACCCAGACATGTACGTGTTGAGGTACATGTGTTTGACAGCAGCGCCATCTCTTGACCACCTGTTTAAACACCGACTTGCAAAATGGCCGACTAATGTGAAGATGGCAGCTCGTTGCATCGACGTTGAAATTAACGGATAATTAGGAACATTTTTCCTACAGACGAAGGGGCAAAGGTCACTCTCTGCGCTCGCTCTCTGTATCCTTTTCACAGAAAGCACCCTGAAGGTCAAATCCTGCCGCGCTGAATCATAGTTGCTTTAGAGAGAGTAGAGAGAGGGTAGAGAGAAGCACGTCTCCGCTAGAAACTTTGATCAATGTTAACAGCAACTGGTTCATACAGAAAGGATCATCACATTCTAATTATGCTTGTTCTTTTCGTCGTTAGTTCGCACGATCGTTACGCCCTGCCAGTACCTCATGAATAACAGGCTATTCCGTTTTGATTGCGTAGAAATACATTTCAGAGACGCTACTCGGTTTCATTGGAAAAAAAAGAAAGTGTTTAATATCTCCTGCTAATATCTCATAAATAATGGTCTATTCCGTTTTGATCACGTGGGAAGACTTACCAGATACGCTACTTGGTTTCAATGAAAAAAAATGAGAGAAAGAAGGAACATAGAAGTGTTTAACGTCTGTTCCGGTGAAATGGAAAAAGTTGTCAATTTCAAATATCTTTGTTTGTACCCACTTCTTAAAATAACAACCAGAAATTAAATTTATTCCGCGAGCAGATACTAAACTTTGATCCCAGCCATCGAGAAGCATAGCAACGACAATAAAAGGGATATTTTTCAGACGCACAGTATCAAACGATGGAAAACAAGTAGATTTTAAAAAAAGGTTACCATAAATAATATATAATATTGTTTGCTGAATTATATTAAAATTATTATTATTAAGCGAAATGTTCGTAAGACGGGGATTTGGCTAGAAAGAAAGAAGGAAAGATAGAAGTGTTTAACATCTCCTGTCAATACCTCATAAATAATGGAATATTCCATTTTGTTTGCGTAGATAAAACAAGAAATACGCGACTTGGTTTCAGAGAGAAAATGAAAGAAGGAAAGATAGAAGTGTTTAACGACTGTTTCATCAAAATGGAAACAAATTGTCAATTTCAAATCTTTCATTTATACCCACTTAAAATAACGACCAGCATTCATATTTATGATTGTTATTGCAATATTTTGTTAAAGTTGTTAAGCTCAAATATTTAACCCTGTGATAGGGGGAAATTCTACGGGTGTTTTATTGTCACAGAACTCGCCATGAGCTTATTCAATCATTAACTGAGGAATTAAGATGCATAAAAAATTTCAAATAGGAAAACCGTGAAATTTTCACGAATTAAAAATAGTAAAAGTAATTCATAGTTGTGTATGTATCGGCGTGGAAAGTGGGATGGGCGTGTCGAGTTCGAATCCTAGCCAAGGCATTTGCACTCACTTTCGTGCAAATCCCCTCGGAAAGTTTTTTTTTTTAATTCTTCACTTCCACCCCTCCCCCAACAAGGGGTAAATAACAGGTCAGACTAAACTCTCTAGCATTGCTTACAATCATTCTAGGAGAAGGACAACTCCCTATTCAAAACTGTTTAGGCACGCGGCTATCAATTCCAACCCGTAAAAATTTATTCTTTACAGAAGCTATTTATTAAGGATGTGTGCGTAACATATCAGTGCGATCAGTTGGGTTCTCCGTTAGAAACAAAGAAAAGAATGTTCGATTGTTGTGGGTTATCCATCTTCTTATATGCTGTGAATGCAGAAAAATCTCTCCGCGACTCAGTGAAAAACGAGAGGCCGGAGAAATGTGGTTCTGCAGAGTGATACAGAATCATCCAATGAATGGACGGAGTCAGCAACAAGGAGGTCTTAAAGAAAAATGGCAACAGAAAGAACACTTCTACTCAGAATCAGGAAAAGAGAGCTGAAATTCCTTGGGCACATAACGAGGAAGGAGGGCTTGGAAAACCTGATACTCACAGGGCATATCGAGGGCAAGAGATAGTGGAAGGCAGCGAGCTACTTACCTGACGAGTTTCTGATTTTGCCATATTTACAACGTTTCGGCTGTTGTACACTTCAGCCTTCTTCAGGTAATTGGAATTTCGAACCAAACCCTTTATTTCGTCCATCGAAATTCCAATAAACCTGAAGAACGCCGGAGCGTACCACTACCGAAACGTTGTGAATATGGCAATGAAGATGGAGATAATAGTTCGAATGATGTAAATAAAGATAATACCTCATTTTAGAAATATAGACAGAACATGTTTTATTTATATTCGTTCAGTTGTTAAATATTAGGACCGTTTTTAAACGATCTTTTCGGTATTATGACAGTTGTCATGTTATTTTGCATTTTATTTTAAATTATCAAAATTCATATCTTTTTTTTCTTTTCTTTTTTTCTTTTTTGTCTATCCTTAAAGAGGGAAGAAATTAGCACAATTTTCATCATTTTATGATTTTGAAAAAAAATGAAAGGTGAAAAATGTAACATACACAAAAAAGAGCATTCTATGGATAAGGTTCTGTGAATGATCGAACGTGTCAAAAATGGTTTGCTAAATTTTGTGCTCGATATTTCTCGATGAACGACTAACCCTAACCCCCACCATATCAACTGATAGAACTCGTGAATGACATGATCACATTACGCAGTAACAGCGAAAGAGGGCAAAATTTTGGCGCTAACGACAGGAGCACCACCTATTTTCCGATGGATCATTAACTCTTTTAATCCGGAACAAATCACGAACAACAACAACATAATTTCACGCTGCTGCCAAACTAATTCGCCGGATCTCTGAGAAGGAGGCACCGGTATCGTATTTAAAAATGGTTTAATGTACACGTCTGACAGCCGATGATGTTATAGAGATACAAGTACGTAATTATTGAATTGTTATTACGTGACTTATATCGGTTCGATACAACTGATAATCCGGCAGTCTTCTTCCTATAAAAAAACAAAACAAAACGGTCATACACTTGTACCTCTCTTACCCTCTTCATATCTTCCTCATTTTGTTCACATATTGATTGATATCTCAATCTATGATTGTTTCTTTACGGCTTATCAACCTTTTGTAGATTATTTAAAACCAGAAAGTATTTTAGATTGTAGGCATGTTTTGAGAGATAATGATTTACTGACATAATTCTACTAATTAACCCATAGCTGGTGGGGGGAAAAAGCGGATTTATACCTTTCCTGAGAGTATTTGCGCATAGGTTAACATAATGAACCCAACTTGAATTGGAACTTGGCTTTCCGAGTTCCAATTCCGAACCGTTTTCCATTACACCACCTGCTTATCCAATCTTACACTACCCAGTATTCCCAAGCGGTCACCCATCTGGGTACTGACCAGGGTCGATGTTGCTTAACTTTGGTGATTGTACGAGGGGGGCACGGTGGAGTAATGGATAGCGGCTCGGATTGAGGAATCTGAGAGCCGAGTTCGAATTCCAGTTGAATTACCTTCACTTACGTGCTAATACCCTTGGGAAAGGTATGAATCCTCCTCTTCTCCCCCCAGGACAGACAGGGTACTATATGGTTGGCAACTGGTCTACCACAGAAGGAAATGGTAAATTACTACGGGAAAAATATCTGCCTCGTCAGTCATGTATAGAAAAATACATGATCGCCTAAGCGTGTATAACGCATGGCACATAACTGACTGACCCTTGGGAAAATATGAATCCTTTTCTTCTCCTCCCAGGACAGGCTGGGTTCTATAGCCTTGGATGGTAACTGGTCTACCGCAGAAAGAAATGGCAAATTACTGCGGGGTAAAAACCTGCCTCGTAAGTCATGTATCAAAAGATACATGATCGCCTAAGCGTGTATCACGAATAACACTTAACTGACTGATCGTAGGAGAAACGGTATTTCAACGTGATCTGGCTGTAAGTTCTATCTCCCATCTAGTTCATCCTATTGACGTATCACGTATCTTTTAATCCAGGCAAAATTACCAGCCGTTTTAATTTCATGCGATTACCAGGCTAATTCTACTGTGTGTGATTCGCAATTGCTGGAGTCTAACAGTCGATCCTTTATAGATACTAGATATATATAATTATTGGGTCGGACATTGTATTATTGAATTATCATTACTCGTCTTCTGTTGCGCCAGTGAATCAGATGTCACTGTTTCGACAACATGTAACAGAAACTTGGTCGTCTACATATATTTATCTGTTCATGGTCAGCAGTGCATTATTATTATCTGCCTTTATTGAACTGGTAAAACAGATAATCCGGATAAAATGGTGGGATATCTGTAATTATATTTAATTGGTCCAATCTCCGGGTATGACCACTAACAACATCCCACTCACCAAGTTTATCAACAAATCCTACGGACGCATGCTGAGATTTCTTCTTAACCAATAAAAATAGACAATTCTTGCTTTCACCCACCAATATTTTTGTTCTTTCTTGTCTTGAAGTCGGAACTCTATAACCACTTGACTGTATCCCTTTTGTGTGGGAACACAATTTTTACTTTGTGAATTTTTTTGCCTAGTTTTGACATATATTTACTTAGTATTATTTTACCTTGTTCTTTTTCATTTTCTTATTGCTTATTGAAAACTTTGCCAATTTCGCTTAACCATGGTCAATTACTCCGCAATATACCTGAACAGTAAATGTAAGTAAAACATCGGGATCAAATTTTGCTCGATTTAAAATGTCGAATGGCAGGAACAGCTGTAATATCAATATGTATTAATAGTATTTTCGTTTTTAGGTCCATGGTTT